ACTGCATCAGATGTGTAAATGCCTAGTGCCTATAATGCATTAAGACATATTAGATGAATCTTTTAAATTGTCAGTTTTCAATTTCTTTATTAATAAAAGAATTCCTTTCTATAATGCCTGTTCATATGAAAAGATAAGAAGCATTTTTGATATTTTCCAAGTTTGTGTCTAGTGAAAAGTAGAGAAAATAAAGGGAAGATAAAATTGTTAAGAAAAAGATTCTAGTATCAAAAGTAAAGCATTCAAAACTATAATGTTTTCAGTGCCCTTCCAAACGTTCTCCAAAAAGTAAGAAATTACGTGTTAATACTATGGAGACATTTTTCATTTTGTCACATTTTTCTGGAATCTGCTAGAATCCTGGGTCTATAAATCTTGCCTTCATATCTAACTTTTCAAGCTGCAATGTCTAAAATCCTAAAAAAAAAAAATTACCCCTACCAATATTGTAACAGCATAAAGCCAGAAATATTTTGAAAAAAAATCGGAGAAAAAAGTGTAAAATTAATTTTATAGACAAAAACAGGGCTTAATTTCTAAAATTATATGTGCTGGAGCACCGTGGAACACCAGGAAAGAGGTACAAAAATAAATAAGTAAAAATGACTAATAAAATCACTAATATTAAAAAAAAATATTAATTTTTGAATAATTAATTAATTGAATTATTAAAATAATTCAATAATTAATGCTTAACAATATTAAAAAAAAACTGTCGAAAAATTCCTAGATCTCGGAATTAAAAATTTTCTATAGAAACAGATCTTAAAATCGCCAAAATGTTGATAAGTTGCCAAATTTAGAACAGTTTAATTAAAGAATTCACATTCCAAAAAGCGAAAAGTTGTTTAAGAGCTCTTCATTAAAATAATGAAATAATTTCAAAATGCTTATGTTTCACTTCTTGCTCAGAAACTCGAGTATCCCATCATTTATATTAGAAATAGGAACAAATTATAACCCATGAATCCATTCAAAAGATAACCATATTTGTCACCAAATCGCCAAAAATATCCCTCCAAAATGTTAATTCTCACTCAAAATGGCAGTTGTAAAAACAGACAGAAATTTCAGATGATTAAAATTAAGGACCTTCTGCCGATTTTGGCCGAAATTAAGGACTTTCAAGGACCAAAAATTGATTCCAAAAAACTTAAGAACTTTTAAGGACCATACAAACCTTGAATATAGTGTTCACAAAAAATAGTTTTATTCACATAAAACTGGCAGATCAGTTTTTGTTCGTGCAAATAGTAAAGTTTTTTAATCAAACAATAAATATACTTATTCAGGTAAAGATTTTCACTTATGACTCTGTCTGAAGTGTTTAATCTGTGGACATTCTCGCTTGACGCTTCAACAGTCAGCCATTATATGTACACTGTGCCCCCTCCCCAAAAAAAGTGGGGGTGGTAAATTTTTATATCTCCTATTCTACCGAGCCAATTGACGAAATTCAAATTGCTTTTTTCATATCTCGAAAGCGCGACTTAGGATATATATTAGATTTATATACAGTTTTATTCTAATATAGGTATTTTGACACAAAATCGTACTTTTTCTGAAATAACATGTCAGTTGTTTTTATTGTTTTGATTCTACAACTCAAATTATGCCTAAATATTGAATTCTGTAAAATTTGGTGCGAAATTTATGGAAAAATTAAAAAATTTTCCAGTTTGTGCCAAGAATAATTCACTTGGCGAAGTCACATCGTTCCTACCTTTTTGCATAGTGGATGAGCGGAAAAAAAGTCACATCGTTCCTACTTTCAAATAATTTTAACAAAGTGCATAAACCACATTTTCGTCATTATCACTTTCAACAAATATGCCAAATTTCAAAATGTGCCAATATATAAATTCATGTATATCTTCGGAAATTTTAAATAAAAAGCTCTAATTTTCTGCAGGTATGCATGGAAATACAACTACTTTAAGATGATTTTAAGATAAAAATTTTATAGATTATAATTCAAAACGTTTTTTGCAAAATGTATAAATTATTTTAAAATACAAATTTTAAAAATAATCATAAAAAATGGATGAATTTTATTTGGAATGAACCTAAATTTCGAACTGTGAAAGAAGGAATCAAGTAAGTGTATTAAAAAAGCGATATTAATAAATACATATCAAATTGAATTAACATTAAGCAGCTAAAATTTTGAGAGCTGATTTTTTAAAAACTACTCATGCGATTTTTACAAAAATGGCAGTTTGGCATAATTTGAGACATAGAATCGAAATATGGAAAAATGTTGGCATGTCATTTCAGAAAAAGTCTGATTTTCATAAAAAGTTCGAAATGAATTTCCTCTTCATTTCAGATTTAATTAAAGATTTCTGTTATTGTACAGAATAGATTGTATTTAGAATGTACAGAAGATAGTATTCTGTACATTCTATTTAGAATGTACAGAAGATAGTATTCTGTACATTCTAAATACAAGCTCTTTATTCTCGATAATCATGTTATTAATTTCTTTAATAACATGATTATCGAGAATAAATATAAAATCATAAGATCAAGGCTGTTACCAGAGCATTTAGAATTTAGTGAAGCACCAAGCAACAAAATTTAAGGCAAAACTTTTAGAATTTAGGGCAAGCACTGAATTATGTATGGTGCACTGAGACATATACGATGAATCTGTTAATAAATTGTCAGTTTTCAATTTCTTCGCTTTCTTGGAATGCTTCAGTGCTTGTGTAGTTGAATAAGAAAGTAAAGAGAAGATTAACATGTTAAAGGAATTACGATAAACATATTCTGGGATCAAAAGGAGAAAATTCAAATAATTTTGTTTTCACTGTTCTTCCAAAAATTCTCCAAAACAGGAGAAATTCATCACAAATTTCCTATAAAAGATGTCCATTACCTGTTAATACCATGAAGACACTTTTTGTTTCATCACATTTTTTTTGGAAAATGTAGGTCTATAAATCCTGCCTTCAGACCTTCCAGGTACAAAGTTTACAATCCGAAAGAAAAATTATCCCTAGCAAATCTGTAAGAGCGAAAAGCCAGAAAAGTTTTGAAAATTTGGGGGGAAAAAAAAAAAAGAAAAGAAAAGAAAAGTGTATACTGCATTTTCAGGAGAAATCTGACACACATTTAAATATTCTGAAACAATTACATGGGAAAAAACTCGAATCATAAGAAAGACAAAATTAATTTTTTAATAACTACAGTAACATTTTTTTCCCTTAAGTTTTTTCCCCTAAAGTGTTTTGGAAACTACTTTATAATATTTATTATCCTCTTTATTTTTCAGAATCAAAATAATTCTCAATCACCAAAATGGAAAGTGATGTCACTTTAAAATATGGAAGGAGAAAATAAAACTTTTATTTTAATGTTATTAAATACAAATTTTAATATATTATCATTATTTTTATGGCATTTATCAATGTTGTCATGTTTGCAAGAAATATCGTCAAAATTTCGCAAACCTCTGAATAAAAAATATTATATACAAATTAATCTTTAAGTTGCCAAAATGCTCATAAGTTGACAAATTTAGCACTTGTATAATTTCAAAAGAATTCAAACGTTAATCTATCCAATACATATTTGTCGATTACATAGCCAAAAAATATTCCTCCAAAATGTGAATTTACATTCAAAATGTCAGTCATTAAGCAGTTGAGTAAAATTAAGGACCATTTTCTGGTTTGGATTGTAATTAAGGACCAAAAATTGTTTCCAAAAGACCTACAGACATTTAAGGACCACACAGCTGTGCAATCGGGATAGTAGTGCTGACTGCTGTATTGAAGAGCGTGGGTTCAAATCCCAGAGAAGGCATAGATGTTTATAAATGTGTGGCATGGAGGCACTCTAAATATGGCGTGAGCCGAAAGTCCTTTCAAGAAGTTGGTGGTAGAGGATGAGGGATCGGAGACCCTAAGACACATGCCCCCTGGGGTGCTTTCCATCAAAATTGGAGGCAAAACTGCACAAAGTTGTACTGTCGCCTATATGATGTTCAAGGCTCTTGCTAATGACAGGCCCAATTTTGTACGCCTTGCCGTAATGAATTTTATGGGTTGTTCTGATGTTACTGTCAGATAAGTGAGATAAGTCACAACAAAACCAAAGACCATGCAAACCCTATAAAATTGCTTCTTATCTGAATAAAATGGTGGAAAATGGTTGAGAACTGCTGGTTTACAACACCAAGGCTTTATTATATGCCGCATGGTTTGAATTCTATATTCATCAAAAATGTTAATATCTCCATTAAACAGAAGTCACAGAAGAGAGAGGGAAACATCAAATTAGAAAAATTAAGGATGGTTTGTCAATTTTTATCAAAGGTCCTTAAAATTAAGAACTTTTAAGGACCAAAATACCTAAGGACTTTAAAGTACTATACAAACCCTGAATGTATAATGAGACTGCTTGATCAACTCCATGTTACAGACAAAAATCCAATACAATAATGCAAATTAAATTCCTACAAAATCTAGCACCTTCTTTGTGTTTTTCAAAGATTCTCTTTTCCTTAAATGCCCTGACACCTCTATGGATCTGCAAGTTGTCCAAGGGTTTGCTTCTCAGAAGTGGCCTTTGGTTTCTCATTTTACTCTGCTATCAAACTCTTTTCTAACATATATCCTGATTTTGAAGATCATTACATAATCATTCCCATTCTCACTCTTTATTATCAAAAAGATTCCTTTGTAAACAAGATATATAACAAAACATTAAGAGTGTTGAAACTGTTGATTTTTCATTGGCTATTGTGCTAATATTAACACATTTATAAGCTGGGACAATTAAGAAAACAGTTATTAACTCTCTTAAATTGTCTCTTCTCTTCCTGCATTGAAACAAACTGTAAAACATCATAGGTTTTTAAAACATGAGATGATTTTACTCAGATAACAACAAAGAACATAAAAAATAAGTATATGAACTAAAATAATAGCATATAGTAACAAAACACAAAACATAAAGAAACAAAGAAATTAATATCAATATGATATAATTACCAGATTTCTTTAACAAATCTTTAACAGATTGTGGTAATGGAGGAGGAAGAGCAGCTATTCTCCTTGATCTTTCTTTTTCAATATCCAAGGCATGTTTCCGAGCTCTGAATGCTTCTGCTCTTTTCTTTTGTTTTTTCTTTATTTCAGCTATTTCTGCATTAAGAGCTTGTTTTCCTCTTTCATCAGCTAACAGCATTTGAAGCTGTTTTTTTACAATTGTTTCATATTCCTCAGCAAGCTTAAAAACAGATATAATTATGATATGATATGAGGCACGCAGTCCGACCCCTTCTAGATACAATTATATACATTATATTTAACTATTACAATTCAACTAATTTTCAGTGCTAAAAAGGAGTTTTTGATTAATCTAATCTAAATTTTTTCTGAGCAAAAAAGATCCATCCAAAGTGTTCTTGTTGACAATAATGCATTACAGAGTAATTTTTAATTTTTTAAATGAGTAATTAAAATAAAAGCAGTCTCTGGTTTACTGAGGCGGCACAAAATAAAAGAATTAAAATAACATGTTGAAAGAGGGAAATCTACAAAGAAAAACATGCACTGTAGCACATTATTTTTTAAAACAGCAAAGTCAAAGGAAATAAGTTAATTTTTTTTTTTTTTTAAAAAAGGAACTACACATTTTAAAAATAAAAAATAAAAAAAAAACCTGAAAGCTTTCAGATTTTATATTATGCCCAAAGGGGCCTTTTTTTTTAATGTTTTGTGTTACCTTCATTTATTAAATATCATGTTCTTCACACTTAAACTATAAAATTCAATTCAACAGCAATATCACAAAATTTTTAAAAGAGCATAGCTTTAGAATTTTCGATACACAGTCTCGCACACTGGAGATAATTCCTCCCCCCCCCATAGATTGTTGCCATTGCTCGCTTTGAAATCATTGAGTTTCTTAATCAGACACTCATAAATGCTTTAAAAAATATAAAATAGATAATAAAACAGATTCCAAATTCCAAATTTGGGCTTCTAGATGCCCATATTCGGCTGGAGATGTATGTTATCCAAAATTTGATGGCTCTAGGTACCATTGCCTTATCAGAATGCGAGAAACATACATATATTTATGCAGATTTTTCATTATTTAATTCCTTTAAATATAACACAGGACTTTAATATTTGGTGGCAACAATTTAAAAAGTGAGTCCTCGTTTATAGTGAATCAACGCAAATTGCCAAAATGAAATTAATAGCCATTCTGGGGAAATTGTCCTTTGGGTTAAAAAAGAATTGAAAAGAAAAAAAAAAAATTGAAGAGAGAAAAGCAGGAAAAAGCAAAAAAATCAGTAAACTGAAAATAATTTTCAGTATACACAATTAAGAAATAATAATTTAAAAGAAAAATTATGAAAAAAATTCACTACTAGGCTTTTAAAATATGCTGCCAAAAGTCAAATATGATGAAAACTCCTCCCTAAAATGACTATCCACGACTTCTGATATTTTGTTTTATGAGGAGACGGTTGGCCTTAAAAAGACATGACTTTATGTTACATGTAATATTTTTTTAAGTTCAAAATATATTCAAAGGCAATTGTTAGTCTATGATTTTTATCTTTACAAATGCAATAATAATGTATTTCACTCCCCAAAAAGCATATGCATTAAAAAATATTGTTTGGTATCCATTCCAGTCCTTGAATGATAAAAAGAATTAAATCAGACAACATGCAATCTTGCAACACTTGGAAGAAATTGCCTTCATGAACTTTAAACAAGCTCAGAGAAGGAACAGAATCATTCACTTATCTTCTCTGTTTTCCCATTTGTTTGAAGTGAACATTTTTATCATTAGAAGTTTTCCAAAGTATTATATAAACCAGTTATTTTTGGCTTGATCTTGAATTGTTAACATTTACATGAGAAAATTAAAATGCTTTACTTGAAGCTCTTCTTTTCACAACTATAAAAATCATCATTGGGACTCTAGGTCAACTACAAATAAAACTATAAATTATCATCATTAGGACTACTGATCATTCCAAAATAATTTGCTTTGGCGATCTATTAATAATCTTGGAGCCACTTACAAAATGGGGGCTGTCATAATAAGAAGGTACTGAAATTTGTCACTTTCATAACATAATATCTAAGGTAATTTTAAAATGTTACTTTTCATTTTCTTGAAATATTAAATTGTATAGATGTGTTTAAATTTTAAATAATCTGAGTGATTTTCAATAATGTAATTGTGGGCAACATGTAAAACAAAACAACCGATAAACTTATGTTACAATTTCTACAAGAGGCATCTTGAAACATGAACAGGTACGTTCTAGAAATATATATCAATCATCAGAAAAAATCTCTTATTTGGAATTGGCAAGGTCCTACTGTTGCTGTTTAAAAGAAATTCAACTGTACTTTCTGACCATCCCACACCCACCCAAAACTCATGAAAAAGTATTCACGAGGCAAATGTACTATTTTGCCTAAACAGTTGTGTAGCAACTCAGGTAGTCCAAAACATATTTATATGACAATCCAGGTATGCATATAGCAGATGTCTGTTTTGGCTGGTGTATAATACCAAGGTTGTGCATTGATCTTATGCAATTCTCCAATATTTTTAACTAAAAACAGATAACTATGAATATGGGCACAAAAATTACAGAAGGATTTCTCAAAAAAGGGAATATTTTATTTATATTTCTTGCTTTTTATTATTATTATTATTTTACTAATTGATTGCTCTTCTATGGAATTCTTACTGCATTCTGAAAATGGCTCTTTGGCGCATTAGTTTGGCGAAACATTTTGAATCTTGCCAAAGTATATCCCATTGTGAAAAGAACTCTGCTTCTTTAATAAATCACAAAGAAGTTTGTGAATGCTCTCTAAAGCCAGTAATCAATTTGTGATTTTTCAATCGGAAGTGTGGATAATCAGAAAGTATCAATATCAAAAACTATTTACAAGAATTTTACCAGTTACTAAAATGAACACTGAAACTACACTTAATACAATTTTATAGTTTCACACTTGATATTTTAATTTTTCAGTGTTCAAAAGTTATTAAATATATTTTACACAAACAAATCAAAAATATGTTCATTTGGAATAAAACAAATACCTGCTGCTGCTCATCAACGACATCAGATGTCAACTGGGAATTAGACAGATTTTGATACTTCTCTTCCTTTTCTTGGATTTTATGAACCTGAAAATTTTTTCTAAATTTCACATTTACCTAAACATATTAATTTACAAAACTGATTTGAACCCAAAACAAAGTCTCATATAATATACAGTGACACCTTGGATCATAAACACCTCACTTCATAAACACTTCATGAACGTGGCAAGTCTGCCTGTGCAGCTGCTACAATCAAAGAAACTCCTAGTGTGTTTGAACATGTCTGGCAATCAATGGTACATCAGTGTCAGGCATGTTTGTTGTCTGATGGTGCAAACTTTGAGCATCTGTTGTAACCTTCAAGCTGTGATACACCATTTGTATTCAGGTCCAATAAATGTTTCAAATTAATCACTCTCTTGTTTCCTTTCCCATCTTCTACCTCTGCTACCACTTACACCTGACATTTCTGGACATGGGTTCCTATGCAAATCTTAATCCTTATGTGTCCTACCTGCCCCAGAAGTTTGTCGCAACATTTACGGGAATACCCTGTATTACTTATTTTAGTCTCTATTTTCAAAAACTTTCATTTATTAATATTCAAATTAAATAAATAAAAAAATTTTTTAAATAATAAGATAATATATATACCAAATGACAAAAACAAGTCTCATAATAAAATCAAGGGGTTTAAAAAAAGGCAAAAATACTTTTCTTTTCATAAAATAAAATGCAAAACATTTACAGTACAAAGTCTAATCCGGACTCGTCGGGACTTTCCGGATTTCGGATTAGGGTTTTTTCCGGATCATAGATAATCAATTTAAATCTGGTAAGATGGCATGCAGAAATTATAGAATTAAAATATGAAACTGTACTTTATGAAATAAAAAGCAATTATGATCTAAAAGGTATCAAATTTTACAAAAAAAAAGCTTAATATTTATTTGTTTACTTTATTAAACATTTCTTTCAACGCGCACATGCGTAAAGCATACATTACGCACAACACAGATCTGATAGCCTTATGGCCTACAGGTATTCTCTTCATAAGTAATAATAAAAAGGAGCATCTTATTAAAAAAATAGAAGAAAAAATGGATATGGTCAATATTTACATTCTTACAGCTGTTGGATAATGTTCAATGAAATAAGTTAAATATAAAATATGTAAATCCACATCTCATGAAATATATATGTTCATGCATAAGTTAACTTTTGTTGGTACTATTCGGTTTCAAGGGCCATAAAAAATTGCCAAACTATTGTTGATGCCAATGCTGCCAAAAATAATTACGGCAAGAAAGGAAGTATAATAGTAAATAACTATTTAAGATTGATGTTTTAACTTAGATGAAAGGTTAATTTCATATAATACTTTTTTATTATTATAACTTATATGAAAAAGGTTAAACATGACTGAATGGAAGCATAAGAGTAAATAACTATTTCAGATCCTTATTATAATTTATATAAAAATTGCTAAACATAACTGAATGGATGCCCGCATCGCTATTTCGCTACCAACTTATCGCTAAAGCATAATTTCATCTCGTTGGTTGCTCAAATGTAATTTTCTATAATGAATGATGCCTTTCTTTGAAAATATTCTCGTTAAAGTGCAGAATCGCTCACTTAATTGTTCGCCGCTTTTTAAAAGGGTAAAAACAATTGGATTTTTGTCAATTTTCTTTTACTTTTTAAGTGAAAATAGTTCGATGTGTACATAGATAAAGTCAATGGTGTGCGCAGTGCCATTTTTGTGCAATTCTAGGATTTTTTTTTTTTTAAGTGAAAATAGGTCAATGTGCACATGGATACCGAGTATGTGCAGTTCTTAAATATGCGTCAAGCAGTGGATGATTCTGAACTTTACCCAAAATTCTATTGCCGACTTTTCGTCATGGGCAATTCCCAAATTGTTAAATCCATAGGATATCAAAAAAAAATTTTAATTAAAAAAGGATTTAAAAATTAAACTAGTATTTCAATGGCGTCTTAAGAAATATAGAACTATATAAACTTACGCAATCTGAAATCAGCGCGTACGCTAGATTTGGCACACTGTCAAATGGGCGCATTTGCTCATACATTTTCGCTGCAATTTTTTTATGGCCCTCAAAACAGAATAGTACCTATTTATATTTTTAAGGCAGTAAACTTAAAATGAGAAATTTTTTTTTAAACTTGCATAAAGCAAAACGAAATTCATAACCTAATTCTAACCTAAAATTAAACTAAGATTTTTTTACTTGGTGTACAGTAACAAAATAAAAATACTATTAATGGGACCGAATTTAAATATCACCCAAAGCTGATGACCACACAAAAAGTTCAAAGCATAAAAATAATCGCCAAAATATTTACATACAATTAAGTTTAAGAAAAATCTAAGGCAAAAAATAATATGAGAAATATTCATAAAGTTAAAAATTTTTTAATGTAATTGAAACAATTTGCCATACAAATTTTTAAAAAATGGTTAGCGAATTAAGATTAATGCAGAGGCATAAACTGCTGATATTATTTAAAATGTCTGAAAACATTTGTATTTTAGGAAGCTGCTCCTGACACATACCCTCAGTTAAATAAGTATCAGTTACAGTCAGTGTTACATTGAAGTTTATTTCGCACTGCTCCATAACCTTTCAATAGTTTGCATATGACAACCAGTATTGGGATTGATAAAATTATATTTATGGTTAGTGCTGAAATGTTCAAATCCAGTCTCTTTTTATATTTCAGTATTATACCCTTTCCCACAGGGGAATTCCATATTATCACCAATAATATTTTCTTCAATAACTTTAACCAAAGTTCAGAGCAACTAAACAACATTGTTTTGCTTCTCGACAAATACTACCGCACACCCACTGGGGCGAAAGGACACGACCAACAACCAATGTTGTTTTTTCAACATGAAAACAGACTTCAATCAACTTCAACAATATTACCAGTGCCACTTATTTTAGATGATGATCTCAGATCTAGACATTAATGTATAGCCACAAACTTCCTTTGCATAACAGCTGCAATCAACAACAGAGCAGTGATTCACATCAAGTTGATGCTGACAAAATTCAATGGAAGTTAACTCTAAACACCCCGCATAAATGAAATGAATTGCAGTTAAGAAACCGATTCTTGATCCTTCAAACCAATTTTGAAACGTAATCCTGTTTTTCCTCTGCATGTGATATTTTCATATCTTCATTTCAGTGCTTCCTTCAATATGAAGTAAAGTTTCATTTTATGGTTTTTCATGCACTTTTTTGGGGGAAGGTAATAATTCTTCATTCTTGAAGAAATTGTGTGGAAGATGTTTCATCATTCTCACTGCCAATTTTGAAAAGGCATTCTTTTACTTTATTAAAAGTAAATATTGTAATGATTTTAAAAGTAAACATTGGTTACTTCATATGAAACAATCTCTTGGCGAGTTTAGCAAAACATATGGCCACATTTAGGTCCCTATAACAGAACAGTATCAACAAAAGTACATACTATTCAACTTTTTACATTTACATTATTTAAAGCAATAAAAATTTAAAACATATATATATAAGTTAATAAAGAGATTGGTACTTGACGGTTTTACTGGCAATCAAAAGACCAAGGATAAAATGTCACTAAGTGAAGGTGCTACACAAAAAACAAAAATGTAAAAAAAAAAAATTAAAGCCCTCCTTTAAACAGCAATAACACCTAATATGGCATCAAATAATCAACCAAAATATCTTGTCGCATGTTCTTATACCTCACTACATATTACATCTCAGTTGATTAGCAATTAAATTTTGGAGGCCACTATAATAAAGGAGTATCAAAAATTCTCATTCTATGATTTTCAGTTTGATTAACTTGCAAAAATGCATGTGTTTTAAGCATAAAATGTGAACTGAAAAAATATTAAATTTAAACTTAAAGCTCATATACAAATTATTATTATGGGACAATAAAATGTGAAAACATTTTACTTTTGGGTTATGGTTTTAAGTTTGGTGAATCGTTTGGTGATAAACACTGCCAAACCTGGCAATTAATCGTTAGTCACCAGTAAAACTAACAAGCACCAAAAGCTTATTTTACTTGATCTTGAAAGAAAAACAGTCTTGATAAGAGGAATTTGGATAACTGGAAATCTACCATAATTAGAAATTTTAATGTATATATAATTTAATGAATTCTACATTTATAACTAAAATTTTCTCACTATAAGCAAATCATCAATGTTTTCTAAAGATGCATTTTTTTCCCTCAAAACATTTGTTTTGGCATAATTTTCATTATACTGTTTCAGAACCTGGAAAGAAAAATAAACAATTTATTTTGCAATTAAATCTTAATGAATGAAATTACAATTTTTTTTTTACACGAAATGTGTCACTAAATATAAAATTATAAAAATAAAAAATATTTTATTATTCATTTAAACATTCTTATACTAAAAGAATTATTTTTCAACTTCAATAATTTCTCAACTAAGAATCCGATCACTTAATACAGAAAGCAGGAAATAGGCACCATTTAAAGTCAACAGAAATCCATTTCCTTATACCAGTCACATAAGTTCAGTTTATTTCACATTAATAAATAGAAGTACAATAATCCTAAGTAAAGTGAAATCTTGGTTCACAAACATAATTTATTTTTGAAGGACGCTCATTATTCGAAATTATTTTCTCCATAGAAATTAATTTGTTTCCACAGACAATTATTTATTTAAACTTTACAAGACTTTGCAGATAAATTCATAACATAAAAACAAAGGAAATCATTCAAGCTAAAACAAGAAACATATCCACAATATTAAGCAGATAAATTAAAATGAAAAATTAATTTAATTTTACCATATAAGTATGACAAAAAGCAGATGGCATTAAGTGATGAGAAAGAGCTATTATTTAGATAAAAAGCACCGTTCTATAAAAAGATAACTGTCTTTCTGCAGCATCTTATTTTGTCTTCTCTGAATAGCACTCAACTCTGCTTGAAACTCCCTAAGCCTCCATGTCACTCAAAATTTGCCCCATGTGATTTGTTGTTAACTAAATTTTAAAATGTTTACAAAGCGAGACTTGGCATTGGCATTAAAAATGCTAATGTTGTAGCTTGCTACTTATTTAATATATTTAGATATTTTTACAAAAAAACTTTATACCTTTTCCCTTTTTACACGAATTTCATATATCAGAAGAACTAAAATAAATAAGAACTAAAATCTGACTTCTTTTTTTTTTTTTTCTCTTTTTGAAGAGATTTCATCCGCTTTTACCTTTTGTTGATTCACTTTTTGTTACAATCACCTTTTATAAGTGCCTTTGAAAGTTGTTCCAGTTTTTTGTTTGTTTAACTAATTTTTATAGCTCCCTAGTAACATCCCGCTTTCATTTTTAACTTCCAGGCATTATGCTTTTACCTAGAGACTCAATAGCGAAGATTTAAAAAAAAAAAAAAACCCTCAGTGTCACTATCCTCAAAGCCTCTGCTTGCAGCACAATCTAGCCATCACTTCCTCAAGGTTGAATTCATGGTTTTGTAAATAATTTATTGCTAGGCTTTGCTAATGGGACTTGAGTAATTAAAAATATTACAAAGTGTTTTCAGAAGTCTCTTTAATCCTGTGTCAAACATTATCCTAAAACACTTTAGAAAATCATTTATTGTCGAATTTAGTATTCATAGTCAGAACAGCACTTATCATCCAAGTTTTTTTTTTTTTTTTTTTTTTTTTCCCCAGATGATTTGTTCTTCATGAGAGATGCTTGGGATTTAAAATCCCACTGCATATAAATTGAAAACAATATTACATGAGACCTAACTTCAACCAGTTTTCAAAAAGCACTTTTTAGTTCTGCCTCCTTCAGTCTTTATGTTCTGTGTCAGAGGGGAGCAAACACTTTTAACTGTGGGTCAAAAAGTCATTTTTAGAACAATGTGAGGGCAGGGCCATTGCAAAGTATGGTGATGCTCATATGTTGATCTTTCACTGTGCCCCCCAATGTTTGCCAGGATGTGATGGATGGAGGAAGGGAAACATTTCTAACCAGTAGAAATTTTTTAAAAAATTACAATTTAAAATAGCATTTTAAAAGCTGTAGCTGTATGCATTCAGTTTCGTTATTTTTATTTTACATAAGTCTGTGACAGTGAACATGGGATCATGAAGACCCTGTATGTAGATCAACCAATGAAACATAAAATGTACATCTAAATTTCAAGGAATATAAAACAAGAAAAGGTATCAATAAATTAACAAACATTTTTATTTGAAATATAAACACAGTGTTGTAAAAACCATTATTAACATTAACTCAATTTGAAACATGAAATCTCGAAGGTATGTCTGAGAATATTTTATCCAAATTAGGTTCCAATTCAATTGTAGCAGTGTTTAATAATGAAAAAAAAAAAAAATTCATCAGTGATTTGTGATCAACATTTGTTTTTCATGTACTTCATAAACAAAAAAAAAGTTCTTTCAGATAAATATATCGGTACAAACAAAACTAAATATTTTTTTACAAATTCATCTGTATTCAGAGGACTATAAAAGAACTTTTATTTTGCTTGAAGGAAATTTTTCCTTTAACAAATGATCTGCCTGAAAGTCAATCAGTTCTATCTGAATCTGAACTAGAATATCATTTTTAAATAAAAATTCAGAGATGAAATGTTCTTTTCCTAAGCTCCCTTTTCTGATCAATATTTTTACCTCAACAATATTCACAATTCATTGTTTAATTTATATATTAAAGCTATCAAAAATGATAAAACCATATTCTTTGGCAGGTGCACATGTTTTCTAACATATCTAGTACCTCAGATTAGGCTGACTTAAGCTATAACCATGCGTGCATCTACTATAACAATAGATGTGAATTTGTGCTGCCGATTTCAGTAGACTAAATGCAGAAACAGATAGGAAAAAGATGAAAATTTCACTGCAGAGAATTTCATAATAAGTCAAATTAATTAAGACACAATAACACGCCGAACAAATACTAATTCAGAAGTCAAACAATAAAAATCAGCGTTATATTTTCAAAATTTTCACAGGACTAGTTTCAATGGTTTTACCGAACCACCATCCTCAGCTGCAAAACCGCAAAAGAACAAGATAGGAAATAATGATAGATAAGATAAGAAAGACTGGGCAAGAATAAGCAAGTGGCACCATCTGTTGGTGAAACCAGAACTAAAACATAATTTCTTTAAAGGCCGAAGGCAAAGATGGATTGGAATTAGGATCGTTAACTAGAACAGAAAGATTTTTTTAATGTGAAATGCCTCTAGGAAATCCAGTTCTGCAATGGAAGATGTTTTTTGAATAATTTTGGCAGCAGAAAAATTGAAAGTGTGATTTTCGGACCAACAATGTTGAGCAACAGAAGACTTCTGTGTTTCCTTTTTTCTAACATATGCCTCATGTTTCTTGACGCGAAATTTTAAGGCTCTCCTAGTTTGGCCAATGTAAATCAAACCACACTGGCAAGGAATCCTATAAATACCCCAAGAATTCATATCCGGAATGGGGTCCTAGAGTATGGAAATCGGAATTTTATTCATGGGAGAATAAACAACCCGAAAGTTAAATTTCTGCAAAATATGTGCAACTTTATAGCTAATTGATGGAAAGAAGGGAATGACAACCGAATTTCTATAATCTCGTAAAACAAGAGGTAAAGGTAAAAGTATGGGGGACACCAGCGATGTACCATAGGTCAACTGGTAATGCCTTCCCATACTAACTCTTTGAGAGAAAAAAAAAGGGGTGGTAATTGCAAGTTTTATAAGAATTTGCATAGACTGAAGCTTTTCAAAAGGTCTAAGGTTTGCCTATTATGGTACATCGTGCAATTCCACAGTATGCCCCGCATCCAGTATTTATTAAAAATAATGGTGTTGGGCATAAGTAGATTACAAAATAGTAGGAACACAATTTGAGATTCACAAGATAGATTGAACATCTGATTTGGTGCAACAAAAATAGGAAATAAACATAATTAATAAACAAATAAACATAATGAGATAATTAAAATTAGTACTGGCAACACAATGTTAAATTAATTGTTATAATAATGCTAAAGAGGTAGGTGTCCATGGGTTATTTCAGATATATTGGTTTATTGCAGTTTATAAAGTTCACGAGCGGATTCATTTTGTCCATAATCACAGCATGTAAAAGTTCACTAAGTTTAAACTGTATGTGGACTTACACTTGACAGAGATCTAGGTCGTAGTAAGAGAGTCGTTGCATAATTTTCTGAAACTTTGGATATTGATGTTTATCTTTAATTAAAAATCTTTGGAATGCCAGGAGGTCAGTTCTTGGGGATTTTATATGAATATCCTCAGTTAAGGGGCATGAGAAAACGTAGTGATCAGGAGTTCCCTGTTCCCCACATATGCAGATGTCAGAATTTGCCAAATTTCTTGCATATAATATGTGGGGAAGGGTCCATGTTCTGTTATAAAGTAATTTAGGGAAGGATTCGAGTGCAGAGATGCTAAGCTTACATTGGGCATCAAGTTATATGTGCATCTTCCCTGTGGAGCATTGTTCCACGAATCTTGCCAAGATTTTGAAGCAAGTTGTTTTAGTTGGTACTTGAAATTTGAGCGAGGCCACGGAATGATGATTTCAGTACCATCTTGATTAATAGCTGCTTCTTTGGCTAGTTCATCTGCCTGATCATTACCAAAATGGCCACTATGTCCTTTGATCCATGAAATTTGAATTTTGTAGTTTGGGATTTTTCCAAGAAGAGAATTTATGTCGGATATCAATGGAGAGGAAGGTAAGGGATTTTTAATAGCTAGAATAGCTGGTTGGGAGTTAGATTTTATGCTAAATTCGTTGAGATTTTTGAGAATGGCTATTTCAATCGCTGCTTTTATAGCTGACAATTCCGCTTGGAAAACACTATTATTATTATGGAGATGGCCTTTCCATTTGATGATATTTGAGGGGGTAATTTGAAAAAAGACTGCGGAACCAACTTTTCCTTCAATTTTTGATCCATCAGTATAAGCAATTGGAGATGAACTTGAATTTTCTTCAGACGTGGGGAATATTATTTTGCTGAAGCGAAGCGCTGGATGGATAAGATTGGGATTAATTTTCTTTTCATAGTTGGATGGCCAAAAGGTTTGGTTGTTGAATTCTGCGGCTTGGTTAAGTTGGAGGACTTTCATATAGGTGCATTCCATTTCTGCACTGATTGATAATGGAAGAGTACCAGCTAGAGCATCAAGTGCTATATTTGAAGTTGTGCGATACGCCCGAGTAATGCAAAGAGT